TTAATCATGTGTTTGAATAATAATTGCTGCAAGTTCAGTCCAAAATAAGAACGCTCGTGGAAAATGCACTAATTGTCAGTAATGTGGAATCACAAGTATAATAAATTCCTACCTTTGCCCTCATTATTTAAAATAAAAGAGGTCATAGATGCCAATCCAGTTGGGTCATATTTCGAACAAAAATCCTCTATCCCGTCCAATGCCTCCATTATTGTCTCAATAGATCTCAACAGAATCCATTCCAATATAACTTGAACTCGATCCCTACCCAACAAGTCCAATGACCAGGTTCAACTAGCTAGTGATGCCCAAGCATAAACTTTGCTAGTTCCAAAAATACAATACCAATAGTCTACTATTTGCTATCATTTAGTTGCGCCATGATGTATCGCAACCGATATTTAACAATGTATCTTCTAAAGCAACAATTAGGTTGTTGCCGATGTCTCGTAAAACATAATGGAAGGAATTATTAATCCTTGAATAGGATCAATTTGCAATGGAGGATCACTTTCCTTATTCTATACCGCCATTTCTATTTGAGTAGGAAGGAATCGAACATGCAATATCATACCGGTGGAGCTTACTCAACATCTATGGACATGACGGTTCATGTACATCGCCGGGGTTTAATTGATGCCAACGGCACGGGGTTACTCCGTGTTGTCAAGGGAAATGATGCGAAACCCTAATTCCGTGTGCTCCACGTACTAAGCATCTCTTCGGTTGAGAGGAAGCTTTCTCTTCGTACATATACTGGAAAGCAACCTGAAAAGAGAGGATCATCAGGTAATCAGTCATCATGAGAGAGTACTCATAGTAGAACATTAAAAATCCCATCTACTTTGATTTGGAAGCTAACCCAATGAAATCTCAGGAACTTCATCGACCACATGGATGCATGCCCCGGAAGGTGCTTCTTTTAAATTTTCTCCCGGTACTGTGTTGAATAATTGCAGCACGGTTTTGGGTTTCTCGAATTCAATACACCATTGCTGGAAAGAGCAAGCTCACATGCAGTGCGACCTTTTCAAGGAACATTTAAGACCAGAGGAGGGTACGCGGCTTCATTAAATTCAAACATAGCTGGTGAGTGAAAAGGAAAGGGAAAAAAGTTGCATGAGCACAGTACATGCAACCGGGAACCTCCGTCGACCCGATTCAGGACAAAGAGATGGCGACACTGATGATCCCTACGATCCTTTTTCTTTCTTCGATTGCGTGAATTAGTGTGCAAAATAATAGGTTTGAGACGACGGGATGCAAAGTTAATGTATCGAAACCAGAGGGTACAAAATGTTATTAAGGGTTAACAAGAGGATTCTGCTTGTAATTTTGGACTTTTGCTTAGTCTACTGGCGATATAAAAGAGATCTTCTGCAAGTAACTAGGGTTGAATGCAGTTTCCATTACTAACTCGATGTTTTATGACTGCTTGTTCTAGAAAGAATTGACAATGGTATTCTTAAATAAAATTCCTCGTAAGCTACCCTTGACAGCAATCAACGAAAGAGGAGAACGAAAAATTGAAACCTCAATTTGTGACCTAAGAGAGAAATAAGACACGAGTTAGATCGAGAGTTCGACGGAGACATTGATGGAAAACTTGGTTAATGAAAAGGCGCTTCTAAAACAACAGAATACCATCAAAATGACGGCTAGTAATCATCAAGATGTGCTAACTTGCATACCTAAATGTGAAGGCCAGATAACGAGAGACATCATATCTCTGTAAATGAAAACTGGTAACGCCCCCGCACGTTTGGTTAATCACCATGTCCCTTTGGCACGATCTTTGAGCTCCATTAAGATATATGCCAACCTTCCTACTAGAACACCAGTCACCTCTTGATTGGCATATTTTCCAGATCATCGAGCCCAGGTTGTCCATTATGCCAACTCGATCTAAGTTTTGGTGCCAGCAGGATATTGTCATGTCATTTGATATTATAATTCTCAGTTAAAAAGTTTAGAACCTCCGCCTCTGATGCTAATGTAAGGGGTGGCAATTATGCTGTAAGGGATACGGACAGCATTTGATATTGTCATTTTTCTTAAAAGTAGATGAAAGAAAGTCTGTGTTCTTGACAATGGAACGGGGAAAGTTGTCCATAAAGTCCTAAATCAATCGTACGGTGGCCAATTCAGTCCTAAATCTTCGGATTGTGCCAATTTAGTCCTAAACAATTTGACGATTTGCTAATTTAGTCCTAAACCTTTTAATTGTGCCAGTAAACCTTTTGACACTTTGTCAATTTAATCATGAACCTTTTGATGATTTACCAATGTAATCTTTCAGGCCATTTTTGGCTGGAAATCACTAGCGTGAATGCCGACTGGCCTACGGAATGTCGTTAAAAATCACCTACAAACGTGTACTTTACGAAAAAGTGGGAAAAAGTGGGATGTTTTACTAGCAGAGCCCCTCCGGCATGACTCAGAAAGAAACAAATTTTCCATGTACTTATGCATATTAAATACCAATCCACATGCATATTGGAAAATCAGATCAGTTGCTCAGTTCTTGGCATGAATTAATGTGTTTGTTATCTCTTCGTACTTCCTGAAGTGTACTGTATTTCCAAAGGAAGAGGCTTAAGTCATTCCTACTACTAAGTCCCGCTTTAAAACAGCTTTTTGATTTCATGAGTTGCAGTGAACTGACAATGGGTAAGGGTAATTTCTGTGTGGTTCCTCGCATTTTGTTTACTCTGGTACTGTCCATCACGGGACCATGCAAGCACCATCCTTTATAAGTAGTTGGAAAACTATTGTTACTGACTCGATGATTTTGGTATACACATGCAATGGTGTCTGACTATCCTTGTCAAGACCGTAAAAAATAATCACTACAGTTAATTGCTGTACCTGATCGAGTTGATCTTCTTTTGCGAGATTATTGATTAGATATACATTCTAACCTTGTTTATCATTAACGGGTATACATTGTGTATAAGGGTTCGCTTCCAGAGGAAGGGTATTCGCCGTCGTCCTAGCATTTCAACATGATCGGACAAGTTACGGATGAAAGGTAACATTCATATGCTAGAGCGTGGTATTGCTAATGGCCAATTCTGAACTCTCTCTCTCTCTCTCTCTCTGTGTGACATACAAAGCACAGTCTTGTGAAGAGTTTCTTGATTACAAGTTACAAGAGGAGCTGTAATGGTTTCGCGGCCAAGCTTACAAAACAAGAGGCAGATAAAATAGCCAGTGAGTCTTGCAGGAAGTGTTTCAAGCACTTCTAAATTATTTTCATTGGCCTAAACGAGGGACTCGTGTAAATGATTGGAAATATGAACTGCAGGCATGAAAGGAGTACTCTCTGTATTTCCCAGCACAACTCTCAAACTTCAGACCACAAGACCTTGAGACTTCATGGGCTTCTCCTCCAAAGCAAAACAATCCCAACCGCCGAAAGCGACGTCATCACCGGCCTTGTCAACACCGGTGTTCGGCCCGAGTCTGAGTCGTCTAGCGGCGGAGGATTGGGTCCTCCGCCAAAGAAGCGGGAGGGCGCCCTCTTCCCACGCAGCAAGTAATACTTCTCGAACTTAAAACCTGATTGCGGATTGATCTTCAAAGGCTTTTCCTTTCCCATGTAAAATCTTGTTCCGTAACCAAACTTGATTCTGACACGTCAGTAAGCACAAAAAGATTTAGAAGTATGCACATTAAGAGGATTAAAGAAGCATTAAAAATAGAAAGCACACTTGAGGGGTAAATAAAAAGAAAAAAAAAAAACAGATCAGGCCCAAGTCGAATCCGACCGTAGGTCAGTGGCCTTGGCGACGCTTAGTGGAATCGCACGACCTAGACCAGATCTGGCCATTGCCGGGGTCGCCCAACCCCGACATTGACGATTGGGGTCACGCGACCCCAAGCATCACCCATACAGGGTTGCACAATTTGAGGTCAGATTTGGATTGAGTCGTGCAAGCCAAGCCAAATCTAGCCCTCGCGAGGTCGTGAGACCCCGACCATTCATTGCTTGGGGTCCTTCGATCCTACCGAAGGCTGGAAAGCCAGGCACCTCTCCTAGCCGACTCGAACAAAAACATGTGCTTTAAAAACCCAATTTACACAAAAAAAAATGTTCAAGGATCTAATTAAACAATATGGAAAAATTCAGGGACTACCAATACATTTTCCCTCGATGCCATTGCGACTCTTCTTTCTTTTATTAAATCCGTAATAAATGTGGTCATCGAAATATAAATTTTAAGTTTTGAGTTTATTTTAGTAGTGTTGGAATATTTAAATATTAAATTACGTATTTATCTATCAGCTTAAACTTTTAGATCAGTTGACAGTGGTCCCACAAATTTCACAAGCAGTAAATTTTCTATCGATCTATCAAATTACTCAAAATTTCACACCTTCATCTGTCGATTTTATCTGGAAGATTGCTCGGAGCGCATCAGTTTGTCATTTATTGAGAGCTAGGAATTTGATGACTCATGAAGGGAAGTTGTCTATTGATGATGATGTTAAATCCGGGGAAATTTACCATAAAAGTCTTAAACCTATTGCAATTGTGTCAATTCAGTTCTAATTTTTTTTTTGGCCAATTGAGTCATAAACCTTTTACATTTGTGCCAATACAGTCCATTTGGCGAATTTTGATTGGCTAGGGCTAACATGGACGCCGAGCGTCCTACATGGCGCGGCCGGTGCTACATGGACAATTTATAATAATATTTTAATATTTTTTCAAATTTTTATTTATTTATTATTTATTCTTTTATTCTTTTCTTTCTCTTTCTTTTTTTTTCTTTCCTTCTTCCTCTGGCTAGCGAGGTCCCTCATCGACCCTAGCCTTGGCCAATTGTTGAGGTCCGGTCAAAATTGGCACCACGTAGGACGGCTGGTGTCCATGTTAGCGTCGACCGGCCAAAATTGACCGGATGGATTAAATTGGTACAAATACAAAAGATTTAAGACTCAATTGGCCAAAAAAAAAAAAAGGTTTAGGGCTAAAATGGCACAATTTCAATAGGTTTAAGACTTCTTTGGTAATTTTCCCATTAAATCCGCTGAGCACGATGCCAATATTCAGGATGATAGTCCCAACAATTGAGGTAAGGAAGGCCAAAAAACTCTTGAATTGGAAATATGAGCTGCAGAGTCTTGAGTTCATCCATCAATTTTCCTTCGGGAGAGGGATGGATTGCTAGAACTAGTTGGATATTCAAAATTTTCTTGCAAAATCATGTCATCCAGGAAAAGAACTCACAACTGAAATGAGCATATATCTTGCAACTTATCATGAACAGAACTGATTGTGCTCAGAGTTTGCATAACTTCAGTTTATTCTTCTTTTCTCAACAATTGGGACACTCAGGAATATGACTTTCAGTCATAGGTGGCGAAAATTGATCTTTTCCCTCAAAGGCCAACAACAGATGCAGGGACCAGGGCGTTCCTGACGAATTAACTCCCCAGATGCCTATCCCGAAGAGGTCGTGTTGGGTCGTAGAGCCGGAATCGAAGCCAAGACCCTCGCTTTGTCATGCTGCTGAATAAAAGTGATTTCTTGATACTGAGCATTCACAGCGAAGAGTACAAACTGGGTCATCTATGCAACCAAATTACTCTATGCCAACAAATTTTTGCATGCTTTATCAGCTATGTAATCTTCCCAGCAACTTTTTTATTGTAAAGCACTCCAAAGTCCAAACAAGTTTACCAGAAGTGAAGCAAACGCCACCCAGACCAGATGAAGTAGAGAAGTATTCTTCCCTAAACCAAGATCACGCTGACCCCTTGAGAAGCCCGTGTATTCGAAGGCTCTGCTGCTTGTAGATGACCCAAGCTAAAAATATAAACGATAAAAAGTTCGAAAGTGAAATTTCATGGTTTGTTATGTAGGTCGTGATCGACCAAGTTCATTAAGATGCGAGGTTAGGCCAAAGTCCAGGGATCAAGGAAGAAGGTTGATAACTCTATAAAAATAGAGTTATTTTATCTACTCTAGGCAATAAATAATGCAATATTTGTTAGAATATACTTGGATTTCCTTTTATTTACTTAATTTTTCCTTGTTTATGCAGAATATTGAGATATGGAGAAAATAAGGAAAATATGGCAAGAAGAAGGAAAGGAATATGCAATTCAGAGAAGAGTTAGAAGGTGGATATCACATTGGGAATTCTGCGATTTATTCCCTAATTTTATACGAAAAAGAAGCAATTGCCTTGTGAGAGGAGTCTTGGATGTTATCATATAAATATGATAACTTGGGGAACATGGAGTTTTTTAGATCGTTTTTGTTTTCAGTGTTCGAGAGTTTTTCAAGTATTTTGAAGAGAAGACAAAAGTGGTGACAGAATTCTTGTTCTTTGATTCAAGATGTTTGGTTTAATTTATATTTTCGTTTTTTTTCTATTATATTCTAATTTTCTTTGTTAGAGCTACGATGTAGCCTAACCATGATGATATGAATTTCATGCTTTTTATGCTTTGCAAGTAATTTCATTTATGTGAGTTATATATTATTGTGCTTAATGCGTTTAGGTGATTGGCCACCACTTGAATGATCGGATGTGCATGTTTGAGGCGAGAAGTAATAATATGCAATTGCTCCTTATAATATATAACCATGCATTAAATGTGGATAGAAATATACCATGTTATTTGTGTAGCTTTCGGTGATAAGGTGGTCCAAAAGATTCATTGTAAACCGGGAATATTCACAGATTTTAATGCGCTTATGTTTATTTAAATTCACATAGAAATATAGTGAATTGATAAACTGAGTAGGTTTGCTATACCTAGAGATAGGATAGTAAATAGACTAGGAAATTCCGCTATCACATGTTTGATATTGTTCTTGTATGCATAGTGATCCGAAATTCATATCTAGTGGTTATGGTAAAATTGGATGCTCTAACATATTTTACCTGATTGATTATCTGCCTTTAGTTTAAAAAATTTCGTTTTTAAAAATTGTCAATTTTTATTTGTTCTCAATTATATTTTGATCAGTTAGATAAATTTTAGAATTAGTCCATTTTTAATATTTAATTGGTTTATTATCATCAATCTCTGTGGGACGATACTCTTCTCATTATTATATTACTTGTTCAACACGTTCGTTGACACGTGCAGAATTTTACGAACAAGTTTTTGGCGCCGTTGCCGGGGATTGATTTGATAATTATCAATTACTATTAATACCGAGCAATTCATGGTTTAGTCTAACATTATTTTTTTATTTTTTTTTATTTTAATTTTATTAGTTTGATTTTACAGAAAAAAAAAGAAGAAAGAGGAATTCGACTCTGTACAAGAATTGGGTGGAATATTGCATGACTCGAAGCCAATAGGGAGAACTTGAGAAGTTTGATCCTGAAATTGAGCGCACTTTTCTAAGGCGACGGCAAGAGCAAAACAACAACACCATGGCTGAAAACCAACAGGGAGAAGAAAATCCAAGGAGGACTTTGAAGGATTATGCTGCACCTACGGTCCAAGGATCAACATCAAGCATTAGGAGGCCAACCATACAAGCTAACAATTTCGAAATTAAGCCTTCCTAATTCGGATGCTTCAAAACGCAGGTCCAATTCGGTGGATTGCCGAATGATGATCCTAATATCCATTTAGATGCTTTTCTTGAAATTTGTGACACTATAAAATATAATGGCGTTATTGATGATGCCATTAGATTGAGATTATTTCCTTTTTCCTTGTGTGATAAAGCTAAGACGTGGTTAACTTCTCTTCCTGCAGGATCTATCACGACTTGGAATGACATGGCTCAAAAATTCCTTAGTAAGTACTTTCCTCCTGCTAAGTCTCGCAAGATGCGTAACGATATTACTTCTTTTGTACAGATGGATGGTGAATCTCGTACGAAGCTTGGGGAGAGGTTTAAAGAACTACGAAGGCGTTGTCCGCATCATGGCCTACCGGTTTGGATGCAGCGCATACATTCTATAATGGAGTGATGCCGAATTTGAGGTCTACCATTGATGCCGCAGCTGGAGGGACATTGAACAATAAATCGCCTGAGGAAGCCTTTGATCTTTTGGAGGAGATGGCGGCTAATAGCTACCAATGGCCGATTGAGAGGCTATCTGCTAGAAAGTTGAGTGGAATTCATGAAGTCGGTGTCAATACTACCATTGCCGCAGAGTTTCTTTGCTTTAAACAAAAAGATCGACTCGGTGTTGAAGATTCAAGGCCCGACTTGTGAATTTTGCAATGGAAGCCATGCTAGCACCGAATGTCGGGTAGGTAATCCTTTCACACATCCTCCCGAAAATACTAACTTTGTTGGAAATTTTAGCGGCCTCCCGAACAATCCATATTCAAACACCTATAATCCTGGATGGCGAAACCACCCGAATTTCTCCTGGAGCAACCAAAATCAGCAAGGGCCGAGACCACCACCACCATCATTTAGGCCGCCTGAGGAGAAACAACACAATCACCTTGAGGAGATGGTTACTAAGCTAGCTCAAACAACTCAAGACTTCATTAAAAGTGCTGATGTGAGGTTCCAAAATCGGGAGGCATCCATTCGAAATCGGAGAAGCGAGGTTGGCCGGTTAGCTAACCATTTGTCCGAAAGACCGTATGGTACCCTTCCGAGCAACATGAGAAGAATCCAGGTTGAGAATGCAAAAGCAATCACCTTGAGGAGTGGAAAAGAAGTTAGCAGAAATTTGTCTAATGAAAGCACAAGAAAGAAGAAAGAAATCGAACCACCCGGAGCCGACGCACCGGAAATTGAACCCTCCAAAGCTGATCCACCTCGAAGCAAGTTATTTCCGGACAATCCAAAGCCATATGTGCCGCCAGTTCCATACCCGGAAAGACTTCAGCAACACAAAATAGATAAGCAGTTCTCTAAATTCCTTGATGTTTTTAAGAAATTACACATTAATATTCCTTTTGCAGATGCCTTAGCCCAGATGCCTAGTTATGCGAAATTTTTGAAGGAAATTTTGGCAAACAAACAGAAATTGGAAGATTATGAGACTGTGAAGCTTAATGAGGAATGTTCAGCTATTTTATAGAATAAGTTACCACCAAAGTTGAAAGATCCAGGGAGTTTTACTATTCCTTGTACTATTGGTAATTCTTATTTTGATAAGGCATTGTGTGATTTAGGTGCAAGTATTAATCTAATGCCTTATTCTGTTTTTAGGAAATTAGGTTTGGGGGAAGCAAAAGCTACCACCGTATCTCTTCAGTTAGCCGATCGATCGATCAAATACCCAAGAGGCATAGTGGAGGATGTTCTAGTTAAGGTTGACAAGTTTATTTTTCCTGCAGATTTCATTGTCTTAGAGATAGAGGAGGATTTCGAGGTCTCGATCATCCTAGGCCGACCTTTTCTAGCAACAGGGAGAGCTCTAATTGATGTGCAACAAGGAAAATTAATTCTTAGAGTTCAAGATGACCGAGTCACCTTTGATGTGTTCAAAGCCATGAAATATCTGTTGAGCCGAATGAATGTTTGAGAGTCGATGCGGTTGATAGGCTTGTGGAATCAATTTTTAGTAAAGCCACAATTGAAGACTCGTTGGAGGCATGCTTGGTTTGGCCAAGCAAAGAAGAAGCCAAAGCTATAGAGGTCGAGCAGTACACGAAATTTTTGGAAGCAAATCCACCTTTTCCGAGATTTAGACCACCGAAATTCGAAGAATTGAGATCGAATTTGAAGAAACCGAAACCCTCTATTGAAGAACTACCAATTCTAGAACTCAAATCTTTACCATCTCATCTTAAATATGCTTTTCTTGATGGAGTGTCCTCTCTTCCAAGTAATTATTTCTTCTTCTTTGACAGTGTGATGGAGGAAAAGTTACTCCGAGTCCCGAGAGATCATAAAGGAGCAATAGGATGGACCATTGCGAGATATTAAAGGAATAAGCCCTCGATATGCATGCATAAAATATTGATGGAAGAGCAATTCAAACCGATCATCCAACCCCAAAGGAGGCTCAATCCAAAAATGCGGGAGGTGGTGAAGGTGAGGTAATTAAGCTACTTGATGCGGGGATCATCTATCCTATCTCTGACAGTGCTTGGGTAAGTCCTGTGTAAGTTGTTCCAAAAAAAGGAGGTATGACTGTTCAACCTAATGATGATAATGAATTGATTCCTACTAGAACAGTTACTGGATGTCGTGTTTGCATGGATTATAGAAAATTGAATGATGCCACCCGTAAAGATCACTTTCCTTTGCCTTTTATTGATCAATTATTGGAGAGACTTGTAGGGCATGAGTTTTACTGCTTTTTAGATGGATATTCTGGTTATAATCAAATCTCTATTGCACCTGAGGATCAAGAAAAAACTACTTTTACTTGTCCCTATGGCACTTTTGCCTATAGGAGGATGCCTTTTGGTCTTTGTAATGCGCATGCTACTTTTCAAAGATGCATGATGGCTATTTTTTCTGACATGATGGAAAAATATATTGAGATATTTATGGATGATTTTTCTGTTTTTGGCTCATCTTTTGATTCATGCTTGAATAATTTAGCTTTGGTGTTACAAAGATGTGAGGAGACTAACCTTGTCTTGAATTGGGAGAAGTGTCACTTTATGGTGCAGGAAGGGATTGTGCTAGGCCATAAGATCTCTATAAGAGGAATTGAGGTGGACCGAGCTAAGATTGAAGTTATTTCAAAGCGCCGCCTCCTACCTCGTGAAGCTTGTTCGAGGATTTTTAGGACATGCAGGATTTTATAGGCGTTTCATTAAAGATTTTTCTAAGATTACTAGACCCCTTTCTAAATTGTTGGAAAAAGATTCTAAATTTGACTTCTCGATGATTGTTTGCGGGCATTCAACACATTGAAGGAGAAGTTAATTTTGGCCCCTATCATGACTGCGCCTACTTGGGATTTGCCTTTCGAGTTGATGTGTGACGCTAGTGACTCGCTGTTGGAGCCGTACTTGGACAAAGAAAGGATGGAATTTTTCGAACCATATACTATGCAAGCCGCACTGTCTGGAGCTCAATTGAATTATGCCACAACGAAAAGGAGCTTTTGGCGGTAGTGTTTGCTTTTGATAAATTTCGCTCTTATTTGATTGGTTCCAAAGTTATTGTTTATCGACCACTCTTGCTCTTAAGTATTTGCTTGAAAAGAAAGATTCAAAACCTAGGTTGATTAGGTGGATCTTACTGCTGCAAGAGTTTGACTTGGAAATCAAAGACAAGAAAGGGAAAGAAAACTTAGTGGCCGACCATCTCTCTAGATTGCCGAATGCCCCTGTGGAAGAAAGACCAATCCTAGATGAATTTCCTGATGAGGCATTTTTCTCTGTCAAAACCGAAACCCCTTGGTATGCTGATTATGTTAATTTCTTGGCAGGTGGTCACTTCGGTGCCTCCAAGACTGCAGCTAAGGTTTTACAATCTGGATTTTATTGCCCCACACTTTTTAAAGATGCTTACTCCTTTGTAGCTTCATGTGACCGATGTCAGAGAACTGGAAATATTTCTAGAAAAAATGAGATGCCTTTAAACAACATTATTGTGTGTGAATTATTTGATGTTTGGGGTATTGATTTCATGGGATCCTTTACATCTTCTTATGGTAATTTATACATTTTAGTGGCTGTGGAGTATGTGTCTAAGTGGGTAGAAGCTGTAGCATTGCCAAAAAATGATGCTAAGGCTGTTGTCAAATTCTTGAAGAAAAATATTTTTACGCGGTTTGGCACTCCTAGGGCAATCATAAGTGATAGGGGGACACACTTTTGCAACAAACAGTTTGAAGCACTTTTGAGTAAGTATGGAGTCACACATAAGGTTGCAACCCCTTATCATCCTCAGACTAGTGGTCAAGTAGAGGTTTCAAATAGGGAAATCAAGAGAATTTTAGAAAAAACAGTGAATGCCTCTAGGAAAGATTGGTCAATGAAACTTGATGATGCACTTTGGGCCTATAGGACAGCATTCAAAACCCCTATTGGGATGTCTCCTTTTAGGCTAGTGTTTGGGAAGGCTTGTCATCTACCGGTGGAATTAGAGCACAAAGTATATTGGGCATTGAAATTTCTGAATTTTGACATGCAGTCTGCAGGTGAAAGAAGATTGTTGCAACTAAATGAATTGGAGGAATTTCGCAATGAGGCCTATGAAAATGCTAAGATGTACAAGGAGCGTACTAAAAGATGGCATGATAAACACATATTCGAAGAGAGTTCGAAATTGGCCAAAAAGTTTTACTTTATAACTCTCGTCTTAAACTTTTCCGGAAAGTTACGTTCTCGATGGTCCGGTCCTTATACGGTAAATCAGGTATTTCCATACGGAGCGGTTGAAGTTGCACATGACACCGAAGGCACATTTAAGGTGAACGGTCAACGTTTGAAGCCCTACTTCGAAGGTTGTTACAACAAGCTAAGACCACTATTGAACTTCATCCTCCAGAATAACGACATCTGAGATAGTTCGGCTGAAAACTATAAAGCAAGCGCTTCTTGGGAGGCAACCCAAGCATTTTTATTATGTTTCTTCATTAATTTTTACGTTCAATTTTTTCAAAAAAAAAAAAAACATGATTAATATTTTTTATCCAGGTTAATTTTCTTTTGAAGGATCACCTTTTGGAGTTTAGTCATCAAGACCATCCATGGACACATCCGACTGACAAGGGGAGTTTTCTTGTTCCTATTTTTCTTTTGTTTCTTTTGTATTTCACATTGAGGACAATGCTTCATTCAAGTTTGGGGGAGACAAAATTTTTGCTCAAATTTTTTTGCTAAATCTGAATTTGTTTTTTTTTTTTTTGCATTCCTTGTTGTGAATTTTGCGATTCTTAGGAAAATTTAAATTTTGTTCAAACTTGAGAATGATATGTGAGTTAATTTTGATTCGATGATGTCGATCCACTTACCGAGCACTAGAAGTCCTTAATTTTTGAGTAGTGTGTACATCTAGAGAACATTCACGTGAAGTATGTGCTTTTCTTGGATCTCACCCAAATCTTAGAATTTGTTTGATTTTCTCTTGAGGCGAAATCCTAGGCTACATCTAACTGAGAAAATGATTTAGGCAATTTTTGGATTGATTGAGCCTTTCAAGCCAACCCTGTTTATTTATCCATAGTCATCCCGTTGAGCCTTAATTATTATCCAATCTTTTATTGGCACCTGCATTTTTAGCTTACCTTTTGCCAAATTATATCATTGTCCCACGCCCCATGAACATGTTAATTTTTTAGGATAAAAGTTTATTTGGAAGGAAGGGTGGAGCATGGAAATAATTTGATTGCTATGGTTGTTTGAAAAAAAAAAAGAAAAAAAAATTGCTTTTATGGTTCCCTATCCAACTTTCAATTGAGTGAGCTTTTCGGATACTCAATGGGTTGGGAATGTTCATGTTATATTAGGAGGGACTTAGGGAGGAACTCCACCATAAAGCAATGAAAAAAAAAGAGAGAAAAAAAAAGGAAAAAAAAAAAGGAAAAAGCATGATGATACGTGGTGGCAGAAAGATTATTTTGAAGATGTAAAATTGGGGATAGTGGCATATGCTCCAATTAGATCCTAGAAATCAATGTGTTCATGGGTGATTTGAGCTTAAATTTACCATTATCTCACCGTTAGCCCAGCCTTACATTACAACCTGAGAAAAGTCCTATTGATTTTTGGCTGGATGATTAGCTTACATTAGTGGAGAGAGGAATGAAAAGCAAACCTATGAGATTTGGTTATAATTATAAAGAGTTTTGAGAGGTTGCATACCAATGTGAACTTAAGCTGGATTGCATATAATTCGAAAAGATGAGGACTCACACACACACTTGGATCACATAGTTAGAATTGGTTTTAACTTATGAATCTATTTCAATGTTTGGATGAAATTTTTGTTTGTCTTTGAATTGTGATTTCGAGCAATTATGGAAGGAAGTCATGGAGGGGGTTGTTAGCTTAAATATGTCTTATATCTTGCTTTTGCTCGAGGACTAGCAAAATGTTAAATTTGGGGGTTTGATAACTCTATAAAAATAGAGTTATTTTATCTACTCTAGGCAATAAATAATGCAATATTTGTTAGAATATATTTGGATTTCCTTTTATTTACTTAATTTTTCCTTATTTATGCAGAATATTGAGATATGGAGAAAATAAGGAAAATATGGCAAAAAGAAGGAAAGGAATATGCAACCCGAGAAGAGTTAGAAGGTGGATATCACATTGGGAATTCTGCGATTTATTCCTAATTTTATACGAAAAGAAGCAATTGCGCTTGTGAGAGGAGTCTTGGATGTTATCATATAAATATGATAACTTGGGGGAACATGGAGTTTTTTAGATCGTTTTGTTTCGGTGTTCGAGAGTTTTTCAAGTATTTTGAAGAGAAGACAAAAGTGGTGACAGAATTCTTGTTCTTTGATTCAAGATGTTTGGTTTAATTTATATTTTCGTTTTTTTTTCTATTATATTCTAATTTTCTTTGTTAGAGCTACGATGTAGCCTAACCATGATGATATGAATT